CCGTTTCCGCCGAAGCCCACCACCCAGGCGTCTGCTCCCTCGCTGAGCTCACCCCGGCCCCTTGGTCTTCGTGGGTGGGGAACCTTCCGCTACCTTCCCAAGCCCTGCTCACCCCCACTTTCCTCCCAAACGCCTCGCGCCGTCTTGCTGGGCCACATTCTCTGTGCCTGAGCGTGGTGCCCTGTGATTGGAAGCTGAGCCGCTGCCAGCACCTTAGTGCCAACATACAGGACCCCTTGCTCCCGGGAGATGCACCTGGGCCAGGCTGAGTGGCTTGGGAGCAGAGCTGGCTCACCCCCCGATGTGCACAACTGAAGGCAGCGCCACCAACCTTCCCTTTGCCCCTCTCTGACCTCCGACCTCCGACCCTGCTGTCCGCTAGGCTCAGAACCCTTCTCTTCTCTCCCTGGAGCCTGAGGCAGACCCCCACCTGCTAGATTTGACAGCCAGGCTACAGGGGTGTGCCTCCCTGATCCTGTCCCCCTGGTAGCACCGCCTCGGGCCGGGCCCCAGACGCTCGCCGGGCTGGGCGCTGGAACTGCTTTTTCTTGCAGACAAGGACCTGCGGACCAAGGGCTTCAGCCTGGAGTCCTGCCGCAGCATGGTCAACCTCATGGACGTATCCTGCCGGGGCGAGCGGTTGGGGTGCAGGCGTGGGAAGGGGCAGGGGGACTCGGCCCAGGAGTAGTGCCGAGAGAGGGACCGAGCTCTGCACAGTGTGGGTGGACCGGTGCCTTCCCGGGCGTCATCCCATCGATGGGGAAACGGAAACTGAGTCACGGGCCTTGTGTCAAGTGAGAGGTGGAGCGGGGCCCGCATCCCCGAGTGACCCTCAGGCTGGTGCTCCTTCTGCACCTCCCCAGCCCACCCAGGTTCAGAGGGCAGGGCCGGCCTGGCCACGGCTGACTGTCCTTGGGTCCTGCTGCCCCTGGCGCTCTCTGCGGCCAGTCTCCCCTTCTCCCAGCTGTGGGGTTTCAGCTGTGGGGTTTTTCCCTTAACGGCTGCCCAGCGGGACGGCAACGGGAAGCTGGGCCTCGTGGAGTTCAACATCCTGTGGAACCGCATCCGGAATTACCTGGTAGGTGGCCCCTGCCGGCTGCACCGCCGTGCCCCTCCTCTGCGGCCTTAGTCGCAGCAGGGCCAGGCCAGGCTGCAGGCCGACGGCCCAGGTCCCACCTCGGGCCTGGTTGTCCGGAGCCCACGTGCCCCAGCAACCGACCCACCTTTTTGGCCCCCGTCCTCCCCCCCACAATCCTCACCCTGGGATGGACTGGAAGGGCTGGCTGTCTCCGCTGAGCCCTCACCCTCTGCTCCCCGCCCCAGGCAATCTTCCGGAAGTTTGACTTGGACAAGTCGGGCAGCATGAGCGCCTACGAGATGCGGATGGCCATCGAGTCTGCAGGTGAGGCTGGGGCACCTGTGGGGCCCCAGGCAGATGGCCCCAGGCTGCCTCCCTGACAATTGGCCCTTGTCCCTGGGGTGATGGTGGCGATGGTGCGGGAACAGCCCTCTTCTGCCCTTCCCCCACGGCCTCTGAGCTGGGTGGTAGCAGCATTTATGTTTGTCCTCGGTGCAGCTATGAGGGTAGAGGCTTTTATTGTTCCCACTGTGCTCAGAGGAAAGTGAGGCTCAGAGAGGGAAAGTGACTGGCCCGAGGCCACACAGCGGGGAGAGGTGGAGCAGCCACAGCCTCCGTTGGAGAGACCCGAGGGTTCGCCCTTCAGCCCTGGTCCCCTCCCTGTCCCCTGGGGCTGGGCTGGGCCTCCCTGGCTCTCACCTGCTCCCCTGGGCCAGGCTTCAAGCTCAACAAGAAGCTGTATGAGCTCATTATCACCCGCTACTCCGAGCCCGACCTGGCCGTGGACTTCGACAACTTCGTGTGCTGCCTGGTGCGACTGGAGACCATGTTCCGTGAGTGTCCCGTTCAGCTCCTTCCCCCAGGTGTAGACCCTGCATGGCACCCACCAGGGAGGCCAAGGCCTCGGGGTGGAGCCAGGGGCTGAGTGCCGGAGACCTGTGTGTGTGTGTGTGTGTGTGTGTGTGGTCGGGTGTGTGTGTGGGGGTGTGTGTCCTGCTCTGTGCCAGAATTCTCAGCCTCATGTCATCTTTTCTTGAACCACAGGGTTTTTCAAAACTCTGGACACAGATCTGGATGGAGTCGTGACCTTCGACCTGTTTCAGGTGGGAACCTGCTGGGCCAGGTCGGGGAAGGACCGGGGGGCGGTGGAGCCCGTGGCCTCAGAGCCAGCCCTCCAGGCCAGGCCACCCGAGTCCTGGGAGGATGGGGGATGTCGGGTCCTGGGAAGGGAGGCCAGGCCCCTGGAGGCCTCTGCAGGAGCCAGCAGCCGGCCTCCCAGGGTGGAGGAGGTAAGAAAGTGGCCCCCCTCTACCCCCCAAGAGGGTTGCTCTCAGGGGGCTGAGAGATGGTGGCGCCTGAGCCAGGGGGTTGGGAGGCTGGGCTTGGAGTGGCCCCGCTGACCCGTCTCCTGTCTCCCCTCCCTCCGCCGGCAGTGGCTACAGCTGACCATGTTTGCATGAGCAGGGGAGAGGCCCCGGGCTGCGTTCCTCTCCCTCGTCATCCGCCAAGCTCTGCCTTCCCACCGCGCCACGCCCGGCCACGCCAGCTGCAAGTGCCTTCCTCGGAGCGGGCGGTGGCCTCTGTCCCCTCACCTCCAAGCCGCCACGGTTCATCTGCTCTGGGCAGAGCTGTGTGGCCCCCCTGCTCCTCGGACCCTGGGCTCAGGTGGACGCCCCAGCCCCTCCCGTCGCCAAGCCAGGAAGGCAGCTTTCGCTTGTTCCTGCCTCAGGGTGGGGCTCCTGGGGGCGCTGACAGCCCTGGCCTCCCAGCATCTTAACGTGTCCTCTGCCCTCACTCCAGAGACCGGCCACCTGGCCTCACCTGCGGACTTTAAACCATAACCACTAGCTCTGCACCGTCTGTATCATAGTGTGCGGAGCCCCCTCCCAGCCGGGCCCCCGCCCCAGCGCTGGGAACGCCTGTCCCTCCCTGTGCAGAAGCCAATGTCCCCCTCTGCCCCATGGCCTGGGTCCCAGCCTTGTCTGCTGACCAGGAGCTGCCTGGCCCAGGGGGTGTCAGGTCCTCCCTTCCCCCCTCCCTCCCTCCTTTTTTATATCGGTGACTTTAAAGGGGACTCTGGTACTGGTATACTACTTATGGGGGTGCCAGAGGCACCTGGGCCTGGGTGTGTGTCGGGGGGCTCGTGTTTCCATGCAGAGAAACCTCCAATAATAAAGGAGAAAGGCCCCGTGTCTGTGTCTGGACTGTATTCCTGCCCCAGGCTGCTCCCCCAGGACCTGGCAGGTGGCACTGTGGGGCCTGCCCACCCTCCTGGCTGCCCTGGAGGCTCAGTTCCTGCCTTCCTGGCTTGCTCCTGCCTGTGAGGCTCTGGCTGAAACCAAAACCCCTACTTAGCACAATCCCGACCCCCCAGGAAGCTCCCCAGAGCACAGAGCCTCCTTCAGGTCCTCCCGGGGGGACTCTGTGACCCAGACACCTGCAGCTTATGTAAGCTGCTCTGGCCCCTCTGGGAGCCTGGCTTTCCTTACAGAGATAAGAGTGGTTGAGGGGAGGGGGTGTGGGGGTGTAGAGGGAGCCACAAACTAGGACAGTGTGTGTGGGCAAAGGCTGACGGAGCCCAGGGGTGGGGGCTGCCCTTGGCTGCTGGGAGCCCCAGGTGGAGCCCCGAATGCGCCATGGGCTGGCACAGGGCCGGGAGTGGGCCATCCCGGGCCCGCTGGTCCTTGTGGTCCCTGGGCCAGGCCCTCGGGGCCTCGGTGTCCTCAGCAGGGGGGCTTGGCCCATCGCTTCCTGGGAGCCTGGCTGGCTGGGAGCTAGGTGGGGAGCGGGGGCAGGCGCGCCGAGTTCTCTGTATTGGGTTTTGCTTGATGAGAACACCGTGGGGCTGGAGGATCTGGGGGCCGAGCCCCTCGCAAAACCGCATTCAAAGGGAAGGGGGAGGAGCATTTACCGCTGGGGTCCTCCGGTGAGGGCAGCGGGCAGGGCGGCTGGGCCCGCAGAGCTGGGCGATGGTTGTGAGCCCGCTCACTGTTTAGGGGTGAGATTGAAGAACCCGGGAGGAAGGGTCTGGAGGGGGCAGCCCCGCAGACATGGGGACACCCGAGGCTGCCTGGGAGGTGTAACCGGACCCTCTGAGCTGTGGGCACAGGGCCTCTGTGGTCCTGACCCCGGGCCTGTTCTCCCACCTCCCAGGGCGCGCCCCAGCCCCTGTACATAAGGCCCTGCCAGCCGGGCGCGGTCAGGTCTGAGGCATGGCCTTCACCGACCTGCTGGACGCCCTGGGTGGCGTGGGCCGCTTCCAGCT